ACCAACCATTCCCATGTTATTACGGTGTATCCATATAAATGGCCCACCCTGTACAGTAACATTATGTTTTGTGTAACAATTAAAGCTGGAAACAGTGATACGTCTAAGTCAGGACTTGTATTGCAGTACCTCTGAAAACCAGTAGTAATTGAATTACTATTTGATACATGGTTTACTTTTTTAGATAAGTTTAATTGCATGCTTGTTTGATTTGACTTTCATCTGTTCCACAGATCCCAGGATTTTGCAAGGGCGGAACTTCAATACCTGGTATTGAAAACCAGGTTGACTGTAATGTCATCGTGGGGTACAAGTCTGTGTATCGAATGTGCTTTGCCATGACCTGCTTCTTCTTTCTATTCTGTGCCATCATGATTCGTGTCCGTAGCAGTAAAGACCCACGTGCAGCTATTCAAAATGGGTGAGGACCTTCCCCCCCCCCCCTTTTTTTTTTTTTAAATTGCAGATGAATGGGTTCAGGGAGGGAGGTATGTGTACTGTACTACTTCTGTATTTCTTCTGTACTAATGGTAAGTTTGTAAATCTTCAGGTTCTGGTTCTTTAAGTTTCTGATCCTGGTCGGGATTACAGTGGGAGCCTTTTTCATCCCTGATGGGACATTTCACGATGGTATAAATATCTGTTTGCTGAATTACAAGAAACAGCAACTAGATCCTTTTCTTGAGAAATGATAATGAGAATATACACATACCTGTTCAGCAGATTGAGGATGCTGTATCTTTTCCTTTTCATTTCACAGTGTGGTTTTACTTCGGATTGGTGGGATCCTTTATCTTCATTATAATCCAACTCATACTCCTCATTGACTTTGCCCACTCCTGGAACAAAGCCTGGGTAGAAAATGCTGAAAATGGGAACAAATGCTGGTTTGCAGGTAACGTATTCAAGAGTTTCGTGATAGACTCCATATTTCATACTGTATTGAATTCTTTTTAAATAATGATAGCGCACAAAATCTGATTTAGTATTGAGTTATGTTGGTATGTGACATTTCTGGCATTGACACAGGATGAAGCAGAGCTTCTCTGCTGCCTGAGTCAATTTCATCATTTTTCTTAAAATAATAATTCTGTTATACCATCATTAATGTTATTGTGTATTCATTTCAATTCCAGGGCTGCTGTCTTTCACTGTCCTCCACTATGCACTGGCTATCGCTGCTGTGGTGCTTTTCTACATTTACTATACAATGCCAGATAACTGCACAGAGCACAAAGTCTTCATCAGCCTCAACCTTATCTTCTGCGTCATCGTCTCCATTGTTTCCATCTTACCAAAGATACAGGTACAAACATGGAAACTGTATTGCTTAATGTTGGATACCGCACAGGAGCGATTGCAAGAGGTTAAAGGTATTTACTGGATTTGTAAAATGTGAACCACTAGGGAACAGTGTCTACCAGAACTAGGCAAATATTTTGTGTTGTAGCCCAACTCTCTTACCAGAAACAGAAAAACTGAATGTCGTCTAAGTTTGGGGCAGTGCAGCAACTTCCTGGTTGGCTGGCTTTCTGAGTGTAGTTTGCATGTTCTGCAGTAACAGTAATCGCAGTATAAAAACGTGTTTGTTAGGTTAACTGGTGTGTCCAAATTAGTCTTAGGTGTGGATTTGACAGTAAATGGTGGTTTGTGTTATCCCTGTGTGACACACATGTGACCTGCTCAGTACCTCGTCTGTTACTCTTACAGTTGGAATAGAATACAGCCTCCTTGTATGGAGGAGGTAGGTAAATGCAAACAACAATACCCTGGTTAATGATTTGGTACATAGCTGTTATTCACATACAGCAAACACATTGTTGTTATTAGCTTAAGCAGAGTGAGTTTTTATTTTTATAGTCAAAAAGTGTAACTTTTAATGTAAACAGCTTAGAAAATCTGAGAAGCTCTAAGAAAATTGTAATAACCCGTTCAGCCAACGTAATACCTAGTTTCCTAATTAATTACACTAGGCTATATCATCGTTTGCTGTGTGTGAACTCATGTAAGCATTATTCAGTGCTCTCTAACTGATCTCCTTTTCTCTCACCTCCTGGGTTGGCAGCGACATGGCAGCTGTACCTTTGCAGCTACTTTATTTGTTTCATACACTTTAGCTTCATAGCTAACAGACAGCAGTACATTCATCAGCTGCAGCAGAAAGCCTGCCACCCCCCCTGTCGCAGTCAGCGGACTGAACTTTGTTTTCTGAACTTGTTTTCTGGCAGATACCAGTGCTTGAAAGAAACCCGGATGTTTGCGTTTTGCTGCTGTTTGGATTTTTTTTTCCTCTGGTTTCTTTCCAGGAATTAGTGCTGGTAGTAATAAGGCAAACATTGCCTGAAGGACCTGGAAAGCAGGTCCTTCAGGCAATGTTTGCTGCCCTGATAACCTAAACATATCATATCTGCCTTGCCATCAGCATTTCCTCTTCCTCTCACATTGGACTTAGGGCAGACTGGTTGCTACACTATCTTGTGATACAAATTGGTGTATCACAAAAGCACAGTACACTTATTTTTAAGTTCACTTAATGTCTCTTTTTTATTTCTTATTTTCTTTTCCCCCATGTTTTGTATAGAAACTCATGGCAGTTGTTTCTTTGCATTCTGTTAATGGCTTTAGTTAACTTTTGATGGTTTAAGTACTTTTTAGTTTTAGGTACCTTTAAATCCTTTTAAGTACTTTTTACCACTCAGTTGTAAAAGGTTGATGGGGTATTGTCAACCTATGGGCGGGCGAATGACCCAAAAGATTGTAAATGTGATAACTCAAAAACATGCAACGTAGGACTTTGACGGTAGATCAAACTATGATATTTATTTCAGTCTCAGATGAGTTCAAGTCTCTGTGGCCTAAACCTCAAGGTCAGAGGTCAGGTTTTCTGAATGTTTTGTTAATATTCTTCCCCAAATCTTTATGAATGAGTAATTTTTCATAGGCTCTGTTGAGTTTGTGATGCAAACAAGCAGTACATTCAAACACTGTTAAATAAACCTTCCTTTCAAAGCAGCTGAACATTTTATTTTATTATTATTTTGTTAAATATTTTTACTTTTTCTATTTACAGGCAGCTCAACCGTACTCTGGTCTGCTTCAGGCTTCTATTATTTCCCTCTACACCATGTATGTCACCTGGTCTGCGATGACCAACAATCCCAGTGAGTCTTCTGACTTCTTAATCCTAAGTCTACCTTAGGTTTTACTTGCATGCTTTTTTTTTTCCTGTTTCCTGACTGTTTTCATTTATTATATGTACTTGCTGTTTATTTGCCGCAGCATTTTTATTTGAAAGGTGAGTTTTTCCCCTGAGACTCTAAATAAACAAGGAGCTGCATTTTGCTAATAGTTAGCACACCCTCTGTGTCTCATTTTCATGTGAGTTGCATGTCCCCTGTGAGTAGTCACAATGGGCAGTGTTGTGCTGACTAGTTACATTCATGTTAAGATGTAGTCATCTTAGTCCCACTGACGTGACGCTGAAGATGTAATGACTCGTCATCTTAAAGCTGTGGACGACCAATTTAGTGAATACAATAACTGGAGAACGAGGTGACGTCAGATTTTCAAATGAATACGATAGGTGTTAGGGGTGG